GTTTTACATGCCCTTTGTAGTAACATCATTTGCACTCTGAGATACACTGTCCGGATATTTTGGTGTTGAGAGCTGTAATAAGTTTGTGCTTCATTTTTATTTGTTGCTCTTTTCCCTTTATTTCTTGAAATAAATGCTTGAGTTTAAACTAAAAGAATGCTTCAAACAATCATGAATTTCATTACAAAAAAAGCAAAGGAAGCATTTTATTTATTTATTTATTTTATTCACTTATTTACTTATTTTTGTTTGCGTATGTGTCAAAACTTCACGTTTGAAATGTATTTGTCGAAAAGTTTTTTTAGAAATCTTATAAATTAGTTAAAACTTTATTTTTTATTAAGAAGTTTTGTTTTTAAAATTTTCATTATTTATAACTATTTCATTCGTTTATTTATAAAGTTTTTTAAAATAATTTTATATCCTTTATTTTTCTTAATTTTGCTCAAGTTTAATAAGATAATTTTCTACTTTGGATTTCATCAATATTTTTATTTAAAAATAATTGCAAGTTTAAAAAAATGTCAAGTTTTAATATCTGATAAAAAAAACTCTTTTAAGATAATAATTAGAGAATACATTAAAATCATGAGATATTAAAGAACTCAAAAATTATAAAAATATTAATAATAAAATTTCGAAAATATTTTTAATTTAACAACAAGGCAAAATAACTAAAAAAGTATTGTCAAACATTCAGAACAAAAATATATACGAATTTACAAGTTAAAAAAATTTAGACTTAATTTCAATAAAAAATACTCAATAAATTATTAAATATACTATTTTAGAAATTACTAAAAAAACATCACGTATAAAATATATTAAATAACAATTTCAGAGTTATTAACTGTAATAGTAATGTAAAAAATATCATAATAATTAGAAATATAATTTTTAAACTAAAATAAAGTTAATGCAAACATCATGGCAAAATGTTAGAATACAAAAACAGGCTAACATAACATTTATTCCTTTAATTTCAATAATTCAAAAATCTTTTTAATAAAAATGACAAAATAAAGATAAAATAAGTGAATAATAGTCGAATTTAATCGTAATCAAACAAATAATAAAATGTTAAGACGAAAAATTGGAATTAAAATAAAATATGCAAGTAAATAAATGCATTTTTAAAAATGGACTAATATAACATCAAAAATTAAGCAAATTTTTCTATTTTTGAAAACATTTCATATTATCAATTATAAATTTAAATATTTTAAATAGTAAAACTCGAGAAAAATAAATGACTGGAAATTATTAAAAAAACATATAACGAAATGAAAAATTTTAAATAAATGAATTTTAAAGGAAATTAAATTGAAAAGCAATAACAAAATGAAAATAAAATTGATTTCATACATGCTAAAGAGGGCCCAAAAATCCTAACAAAAAGTACTTTTCTGCTATAAACTTTTGAAATAACACTAATTTATGCTAATTTTTTGTATTTCTTAATTTTTTTGAAACATTTATATACCGACAAGCTATTTTTTCACGATATGTTTTACAGGAGTGGAAAAGTAGGAAAAACTAAAGATAATCAGAAAAATAACAAATTTGTTTACACCATCTTAATGTTTAATGATAACACAAACAATTTAAACAATAATACCTAGTTTTAAAGAATTATTAGAAGCGTGAAATAATTTTCCAATTTGAACATTATAAGTTATTTTGTATATTAATTACATTACAGTGCGTGGCGAAAAAAATATTTATTACTCACAATAAATATTTATTGTGCTAAAATATGCTGAAAGAACTTACTAAAATATAAACTTTCAAATTATTTAATATGATGCTATTAACACATTCTGATAGCTATGGATACTAAACAATATAATCCAGTAATAGTAATTAATTTTTAAAAAGAATAAATATAAAATACAAAAATAAAGCACAAATTAACAATTACCTCTTTTATAACTTAAATTACACAGACTACTTTCTCAAAAGGGCAACGCGACGTCAGAAAGAAATTTATTGCCCAAAATAGTTATACTAATTTTGCTGTAATGCGCTAACTAACTTGCTAATATTTCTCCTCTATCGATATCATGCTAATTAAATATTTGAATCACTATGCATAATAATAAATATGACCTTGTAATAGAAATGAAAATTTAAAAGAACTAAATAAATAAAAAAAATAATAAATACTGGAAAATAAGCTTTTACTTAAATTTACTATTTTCAACTAGACTAACTTCTTCTGAGTGAAACACGTGGTCATAAAAGAATTGAGTTTATTGATTAGAATAGTTATTTTTCACCAGTAGTGATGTAATAAGCTGAAATAAATGCTAAAACTATTACATTGAAATAACATACTATTCTAAAGTTTTGAGTACTATGCAACTAACCAATAAATTACGTTCCTTGCTCAAATTACATATATATGTTTGGGGAAACAAAATAGGCACAATCTGTTTCCTAAATAAGAGAACTGGTCATTTGTCTAGACTAGACCGACAATCTGTCAGTCAAAAAAAAAAAAAAAAAAAAAAAAAAAAAAAAAAAAAAAAAAAANAAAAAAAAAAAAAAAAAAAAAACCATTTCTAATAGGCTGTATGATCACCTCTAACAGCTGCACATTTCTCAGACCGGCTAAATCACCATAGGTGATTCATACTGTTAACCAGGGTTTTTACCCATCCCTGAGGCAACCGCACCCACTCTTGCACCATGGGAACCTTGAATCCATCGATGGTCATAGGAGCTAGTCCTCAAGCCGCAATTGAGCGTCCAAAGGCGTTCCATACGTGTTTTATGAGATTAATGTAAGTAGACATCGTAAGCCACTCCAGTCATTGAATACCTTCCAATTGGAGGAATTCTTGAACCAACTGAGCTCCGGGTGGACAGGCGTTATTGTCCATATAGACCCATATGCTCCGCGGTAAAGTCTCAGATAGTTTACAAATATCTCGTCCCTATACCGCTAACCTGTCAGACTACCTTTAGCGTACACATGAACGTCGGTATGCCCGACTGTCAGGATGCCTACCCAGAATTTTTCGATCACATTGGTCCTTAAAATTATAAAAAAAAAACACAATATAAAAAATAAATAATAATAATAAATATCAAACTTGCGTAAGTTAAAAAACAAACAAATTGTGATAGCCGAAAGGTGATCACTGGTTACCCATTGGTAAAATATAGTTCAAATGATGAAATTCTCTTTGATTCACAACTCAAGAAGTATATGTGGGATCTCCCATATCTCAAAATATAGGATCTTCCATATCTCCCATATCTCAAAAATAAACTCAACTACTTAATGCAGAACAAAATTAAAAGTTAAAAAAAGAATTCTAAAAAAATATCAAACAGAAACGGTCGCCATAGCAACGCGTGCAATGACGACGCATGCACACTGTTTACTATTACTCTTGAACCCCGTTGAAAAGTGTGATGACGTCCAAATAAAGTGCGCATGCCATCAAACCAAAAACAACACCCATTTTGCTAATGGATGATAAACATATAAGAAATAAAATAAATAAAAAACACAGGTTTAAATAAATAAAAAATCACAATAAAATAAAAAAAAAAAAAACANTTAGATTTCAGCAAGAAAGAATATTTTTAAATATATCTATTTTTTTCTGTTTAAAATTAGTTTCGTTTAGTTAAAAAATCGTAATAAGAAAATCTGCTTTTTAAATACTAATTAAGAAATCAGCTTACAACTAGTATCTTAAAATAATAATTATGAGAAATGCTATAAAAAATCGTGCTCTTTTCCGTATTCTGTACAAAATTTTAGTACGATTATTGGTTTTAAAAAAAAAATCGCCGTTTTGCTTTCTTAAACGCCAATACTAGCCACTTTCTCTCCCTTTGTTGCTACCTTATCCCCGTACTGACTTAAAGAGTAACCCAGTTTCCATGTAATCTGGTCTACCTACCTTTCTCTCCAGTGCCAACTTAAGGTGGAATGGACTATAGTCCTTGAGTCGCAATTGAGGGTCCAAAGATGTTTCTTACGTGTTTATGAGATTAACGTCAGGAGACATCGCAGGCCACTCCAATCATTGAATATCATCCAATAGGAGGAATTCCTCAACCATCTAAGTGCTGGGTGGACAAGTGCAATTGTCCATAAAGACCCATATGATCCGCGTAAAGTCTCATATAGGGTACAAATATCTTGTCCCTGTACCGCTGACTTGCCAGACTACCTTTAGCGTAAACATGAAGGTCAATATGCCCGACTGCCGAGATACCTGGCCAGAAAGTTTCGACCATATTGGTCCTCAGAATAATAAAAAAAAACACAATCTGAAAAATAAATAATACTATTAATAAATAGCAAAATTGCTTAAGTTAAAAAGCAAACAAACAAATTGGGATCGCCAAAAGCCCATCACAGGTTACCCATTGACAAAATATCTTTCAAATGATGAAATTCTCTTTTATTCACAACTCAAGTATATATGGGATCTCCCGTATCTCAAAATATGGGATCACCCACATGGGATCTCCCATATCCCATATCTGAAAAATAAACTCACCAACTTAATGCATACCAAATTAAAAGTGATAAAAAGAATTCTAAAAAAATATCAAATAGAAGCTGTCGTCATAGCAACGCGTGCAATGACGACGCATGCGCACTGTTTACTATTACCCTTGAAAAGTGTGATGACGTCCAAATAAAGTGCGCACGCCATCAGATCCAAAACGACACCCATTTTGCTAATGGGTAATAAACATATAATAAATAAAAGAAATAAAAAACACAAATTTAAATAAATAAAAATCACAATAAAATAAAAAAAGAGCTAGGATCTGATTACTATGCATAGTAACCTATATATCCTAATATTAGTGAGGTAATAATACTTTAAACAGAATAAATTAAAAACTCAAGAGAAACGATATTTGATGACTATGCACAGTAACCAATAAATCCTAATAGTAGCAATGAAAGCTTAAAGCGTAATAAATACATAACACAGAAGAACCGGTAAAATAAGCCACATTACCTCTTTTCAAAGTTTTAAACTAGCCAGACTGACTTCTTAAAAGAGCAACGCTTGGTCAAAAGGGCAGTTATTGCTCAGAATAGCATCGAAGGAAGGAATGAAATAATAGAAAGGCTAAAGATAATTGGTGGTCGATGTCGACACACACACAGAGTCGACTACTATCTGTGTCAGTCGCCCATCCATCCTCTGCCGGAAGGAAACCACCGACGGAAGACAAATGTGAAGTTGGCAGATTTGGTAAACATCTCTCAGCTGCTGACGCCAGTAAAGGTCTTAGACTTGACTTTCCTTCTACACAAATCCCAAGGAATTCACATATATTGGATGGAACATAATAGACCCACAAGATTAGAATTGTCGTCGTCTTCATTGTAGCCACACCCCCTTCACTGATGTTTATTTGGACTGCATTAGACGATCTTAAAATATTTGATTTCTTAAATACATTATAGATAAGTAGGTAATAAAAAAACTAAAGTGATTTAAAAATATTTGCATAAATTGAAATCTACAGGCGAGGAAAATTACTGTAAATAGTTCAAATATAATTTGAATATAATAAAAATTAAAAAAATATCCAAAGTGGAATTAAAAATATTTGTTTTTTCTAAATGTTAATCACTATTGATATACAAATAGAGCATATTTATTGTTATTTGCATCGATTTATTTAAGTAAACACTTTTAGACAGTTTAAATATTTTTGGTAAAACTTCGTGCCATAGAAAAGAGAAATTAGGGCGAAGAGTTAAAAAATACGAACATGTTGAATTAAATGTAAGTTATATATTAATATAAGTTGTATGCAAAATAGGTTTAAAAATTCTAAGTGATCTTCAAAATATTTTATTCCAATCGTGTTAAGCATCATCATAAGTAGATATATTTATTTCTATTTGTATAGATTTAAGTAAAAGAAAAGTAAAACTTGAAAACAAAAGTAGTTTAATTTTTGGCATGATTTTGTGCCATAGATGAAGAAGAAAATGATTGAAATTAGCTTTAAAAAAAACTAACATTTTTGTTTCATTTTAACATAAATATAAACAATATACAAATTTTGTTTAAAAATTTTTTCATTGTCTTAAAAATACTTTTTTTTTAAATGTGTAATATTACGGATAAATAGACATTTTTATTTATACTTGTTTTAATGCAAGTAAGAAAGGGTCCAAGCATTATTGCAATTTTAAAAATGTTTGGATAAAGTTTATACCATAAAAAGTAAAATTACTCCAAATAGTAAAAAAAATAATATCTTTGTTTTATTTTCACATAAATATAAACTACGTAAAATAAGTGGTAGAAATATAAAAAGAAATATTTATTTCTATTTGTATCGTTTTAGATATAAAAGAAAAAAAAACTACGAAATGAGTTTAAAAATTTGGGATACATTTAAACAAGAAAAATGACTGAAAATAGAAGAAAAAAAAGAGTACATCTTTGATATATAATGAAATAAAAATAGGTTAATAATGTAAAAATTCTATGCTTGGAAAATCTTCAGCGAATTTCAAAATACAAGTTTTCCCAAATATTAAGCATATCCGATTAGTAAATATATGTAATTTCTTTCTTTTTATTTCTGTAAAAATACTAACATTTAACATTAACATTTAACCCATTGCGTCAAATACATCATAAAAAGATGGCTAAATTTCTTCAAAAGAAAAAGATAGTTACACGAGAGTTCTATTATTAGGATTTATTTTTCAGAAACAAGTTAGTTATGTCTATTACAACAAATTCATATTCATTTATTTGTTATGGAATCTAAATTCATAGCACAACATTTTATAAGCACTTGGAGGTTCCAACCCCTGATCTACTCACCGATTCCCATGGTTGATTTCTCATTCATTATTGAAGATCAAGGGGAAAGAATGTTTTATGTGATTGTTTGCAAAACTTACGATTGATTTGCAGCAGTTACATTTTCAGGTTAACTAAATTTTGGTAAATTAATGGCATAGAAAAACAGTATCCCTATTTCCCCGAGAGTCATTACTCAGTGAAGATAGACCATCTGTTTGAAAACAATTCCTATCCCAGCACCAATTCGTTTTTTTTTTCGTAATAAGCTTTTTAAAAAAAGTCGAGAAAAAAGATCATTTTGTTTAGAAAATATAAAGTAATTATAAATTTATGTATGCTCCTTTTATTAATAGGTTAATTGTATTGAAATATTTAATTATTTTTCAGTCATAGCATGATTTAAATAGTTAGTAAATTTTCTTGGAAAAAAATTAAACCTAGGAATACAGAATATGCGACAAATAAGTAATAATAAATGACAAGTAATTAATCGATACCTTCACTGCTTAAGAACACTTCTAATGTCAAAATTATTTCAAATGCGAATAAAAATAATACTATATAAAACAATCATTTGACCTGTCTTAACATATGGATCTGAAAAATAGTCTTTATAAATCGTGCTGTTTTAGAGAGAAAAGAGTAGAAAAAAAATTTTGGTGCTATAAATGTGGATGGCTTATGGAGACAACGACATAATTTTGAACTATATAGGCTATTCAAGGAAGCTGAGATCAACAAATACATCAAAATATGCCTCTTAAAGTTTGAGGGTCACATCTCTTGAATAGACATTTCTTCCATGACATTTAAGATCTTCAATTGGAAACCAATGGGAATTAGAGTTAAAGGAAGGCCTAAGATCAGATGGCTTGACTGTGTGGAAGAGGATTTCAAAATTGTAAGAATTACTAACTGGAGAACAATCGCAAAGAAAAGAGCAGAATGAACGGAGATTTTAGGGAAGGCTCTGGCCCACGAAAGGGTGTCTTAGAAAAAAAAAATGATTAGCAATTATTAATCTATAGCGATAACCACATATCGTATAAAATTCGCTTTGAAAACAGTTTCTATCTCTCTCCAGATTCGATGTTTCGTCGATTAATGTTAAGATTTATATCTGGCAATATCTAACCTATCTCTTACTTTTTATTTATTTTGAATTTCAACGCTATAGCTTTATTTAAGTTGACAATAGATCAATCAGCATGTTTTTTTTTTACCACAAGTTTAACAGTTAATAATTCTTGAACCAATAATTAATTCATATTTTTAATGCCTTTGAACTCCTTGTGTATTTCTACACACCTTCGTAATTTCAAGTTTCAAAGTCTTATAGATAAGGCCGGGATAGCCTGGTTGGTACGACGTTGGGTCCATGTCCAAGAGGTCATGAGTTCGATGCCCGCAAACAACCGGAGACACCCGTGTAGTAAATGCTGACTGGTGCACATTAAATCTGCCGGGTCACAAAGTCCTCCATGTTCTCATAACAAATCACACTTCTGGGGGTCTGGGGGTGCTAGATTGGAGATTGATGGTTCTCCGGTTCAGGACAAAATTACGATCTGTGGATGAATAGATGTATGAATGGGTCCACCCTATAAACGGGTATGACGTATGAGTGCGTCAGAAGTCGAATTCTTTCCCGTAGATTGCGCCACTAAAAAACACGAACAATCGCACCTCCAGTACCTTAATGGCCTACAACATCAACAACAAGTTTTACAGAATTTGAGCAGCAAAGCAAAATGCAAAATAAAACAAAAATACATAAGAAAAATTCGCAAAAAAAGCATTTAAATTGTAATACCTTTTGGGAAAAAAGCACTCTCTAATCTTCATAAACAAATATTGCATTTCAGCGTTCGAAATTTTAACTTTGTACATAGTTTCATTCCTGAGACCTGTAGTGCGGCCCGTTTGGTATCTAGTATAACAGTTGATAATTTTCGAGCTAATTTCTGAATGTTCAGTTGTTTATTCTATCTCTACCCCTGTACACTTTTCTATACGCCTTTGCGATAAGTTTCGAAGTCTCAGTTTTTTTGTAGTATAGTTACAGAATATCTATAGCATTGGTAATAGAAACGTTTATATGAGAAAACTTTGAACTTTGCATGCTTTGTATGAAACTTTGTATAGCGGAGCTGTGGTGGTTCGCTTTCCAATGAGGTGAACCGGGTTCGGATCCCAGCAATGACGGATCGATACGAATTCCGCACCCGGCTCTCGCCGACCGCAGTGCTAACGTAAAAAAAACCTCAGTAGTAATTGGATCATGCGTTAGAGTCCCCTTGCCGTCACTCTAATCTAGGGAGATGCTCGTGGTTTTCCTCACCATGCAACGCAAATGCGGGTTAGTTCCATCAAAAAGTCCTCTACAAAGGCATATTTCTCTCAATACTTGATCTAGAACTCCCTTGTGTTCTGGATTGAGTGTAAAATTACAAGGCTACGGAGTTGAACATGAATAATTTAACATGAATTGAACATGGGTCGGCTATTGAACGATGGTTATAAAATAAAATAGAATACTTTTTTGTTTATAAGTATAGATCACTTTTATGGCTGTTGAATTAAAATGTGAATGAATTAAAAAGTTTCAAAAAAGTAACAAATAAGGTTTTATTAAATATTGAAAAAAAGAATGACTAAAAGTATTTAAAAGCTTATACATTCGTAGTAATATGGAGTGCTGTATAATTTGCAGGTCTCTGAGCTACACCTATATTACTATCCCTTTCGTAGCATAAAAAAAAATTCTAAAATTCAAATTATATAGGATTTTTTTTATATCTCCACAATTTAAACAATAGTTTCACTATGTGTAAAACATAGTTTTAAAGAACTTTTTAATGAAATGTTTAGATCCTTATGTTCGCAGTAAAACACTTCTACATACTAATTTGACACATTTATGCTAAAGAAGTTCTTTTGAGCTTATGATGAAAAAAAAACGATAAGCATTAATGTGTTAAGTAACAGCTAATGTGTTATAAAAAATTTTATAACTTGAACAGGAATTATTGCAACAACTACCATCAAATTATTGCTTAACATTTACACTAATTTAAAAATCTTTGTCAAAATAGTCCATATTATAAAATGAATCTATTAATTACATTTTGAGTAATTTAAATCAATTGTTTTTAACATGTGACGGATACTACCTAATCTGAAATATGTTTAATTATTATATACATAATATACAGAATATATTAATATATAGAATATCAAGCTATCGATACACGCAGTAAATGAAAACGCTGAAAAGAAACGGATGAATTTTATAACTTGCAAATGTATTTATTAATCCCTTAAAATATATATAAAAATTTTAATTATATTTTGCAAATTTTGAAGGATTTAATATAATTCAAATAAAATTTTAAATGCCTAAAACTTGCTATATCAACTAAATAAAATAAGCAACATAATTATATTAAGGAGAGATATGTTTACGTTTGTTTCCCTGCTGTATATATTAATATATAGCAAACTCGGCTATACTTATTAGCCTATTAAATTTCATAACTATTATTTCAGCATTTTTAAAATTATTTTCGGGTGATATATAAATTTTGAAAATTAAAGTTATTAAATTTAATTTTCTTATGG